TGTAAGCTGCAGTTCATTCAGCCCAACCACACAAGATGGAATGCTGCAGAGAGGGCAATGCGGATCCTAAAGGAGCCGGGAGAAGCATCCCTTCGGAATGTGTACATGTACAGCATTCAAAATTAAAATGTAAGTCTGTTTGCTCAATCTCACATTGTTCTAATTGAAATACTTACGGTGTTTGTGTTTTGATTGACTTTTTTTCTTTTTATTTAATAGGCTAAATCCTGCTGAAGTTTCTTACCTCTCCGAGTACTGCATTGTGATGAAGCCTGTATCCATGGCCTTGAACATCCTTCAGTCCGAAACAAACACTCAGATGGGGTGGCTGCTTCCCACCATCTATCTTCTTGATTCCAAGCTCAAAAAGATGGAGGCTTCCATCAAGGTATGTCTTCCCCTTATTCATGCTCTGCAGCAGGGTCTACAAAAGCGCTTTGGGGAGTTTAAGGAAGATCCAGAACTCATCAGTGCAGCGATTCTTCTTCCGAAATTCAAAACGTTATATTCACTTCAGTTTCATTTTCTAATTTGTGCTACAGGCTGATCTTTTTACGGTAAATTGTTAATGTACAATCCTTTGCAACCTTTTTTTTTTATTAACCTGAAAGAAGACCCCTATATAATGGTTGTCATAAATGTTACCTGATTATTGGTTGTGTGTTCAAATATAAGCCTGGATTTTCAGTGCTAGCAGTCAAAAATAAAACTGTTTGAGGAATATTCTCTCTTTTTATTTCTTTACTGAGAAACATCCATAAAAGTAAATGACACGGTAAACTATACTTTTAATTTGCAGCGTATAAGGTGGAATAGCATTCACAGCATAATACTCACTACTCTTGAGTACTTTTGAAATGGCTACTTTTTACTCGTACTTTGAGCAGTATTTAGGACAGGTACTTTTACTCCACTCGGACTACATTTTTTGGGAAGTAATAGTACTTTTACTTGAGTATGGTTTCTCAGTACTCTTTCCACCACGGCTGAATTCAGATTTATTTTCTAAGCACTACACATGAAATTCTCCCTCTTGAGGGAGTTTACCAACGGCTGTTTGCCATTTTTAACACGTCATCCGTTAATTGCAAGCTAAATTATGAACTGGTTAACCCTTTTTTTTGTAATGAGTTTACATAGATATGTTCCACAGTTTAAAAATTAAAGTGATTTGTTGTCCTGTGAGAATGTTTTATAACCATGCTTTTACTATAGTAACCGTAATTCAGCCATGGTATTTAGTAGTAGAACCACAACCATACATTTGCCATTGTTGTTACTGTATTGGCCGTTGTACTTGCTGTACATTCATGAAATTATGAATGAAAATCAATCTGCCCATAACAGCAGGATTACTACAGTTTAACTATAGTAGCGTTATGATTATTTTTGTATTTTCTGTGTGTGTGTGTGTGTATATATATGAATATGTATGTATGTGTGTGTGTATGATAGAAATATTGCTTTTTTTGTCCTACAGGTCAACATGCACAAAAAAAGTCATGTTTTTCCCTGGAAAAGTGAAGGTTGTTCTCCGTAAGGGACCTCTAGGGTATCTCCTTCAGGAGCCAACTGATGAGGCAAGCCTGATTAAAAGCAACCCATCACTGCAGGACAAGGCAGCGCCCATGAAGCAGGACCTTGTCAGACAAAATGCTCTGACTGTTGTCCGTCAGAGAGGAGGGGATGCCACAGACAAGAGAGAGGTTTTGGGTGAATACATCCTCCAATTTGGAAAATACAAGGGCAAGTCCTTTCGGTGGCTCCTTGAAAATGACATGGGGTACACCATATATCTGATGAAGACCCTGCAGCAGGAAGAGGCTGCTCCAGAGTTTAAGGCAGAGGGACACAGCAAACACAGCCTGGTGTCGTTTGTCATCTATGCTCACAGCTTTGAAGAAATCGAGTCTCTTCTTAGCTATGTGTCCACAACACCAGCTGCACCAGCAGCCTCATCAGAGGATGACCAGTTAGTTGGTTTCGGGGCTCGTGCCAAGAGCACATGGCAGGAGATTTGGAAAAGCAGGGCTGATGGATATGCATCCTTTGTATTGGGGGCGACCTGTGTCCCAGGGACACAGATGCACAGACTGCAGCAATACCTGCGGAAGCAGCAGCAGTCAACCTGTCGGCCTGTGCCCACATCAAGTGCCATAACTCAGCCCATTTCTCATTTGCTCTTTAGCAGGAAATATTGCCATTGTATCAACTCATATAAACAAATAACACAACTTATGATTTTACTCATACATTATGCTTCAGTTAACACAGAGCTATACTTTCTTTCTTTCTTTCTTTCTTTTTATTTATTTATTTTTTACAACCTTCTTGTCTTTCTCCAACACACACGGAGATGGATGAAGATGTTGAGTTGGAGAGTGCATTGCTGAGCATTATCCCCTCCAAGCTACAGGTGCAGTGCAAGTATGCTTTCTTTCTGTGCTTTACTAAATCAATTGTATTTTCCGATTTGTTTTCTCTCAAATGTTTGACTGTTTTGTGTGTTACCACCAGCACCACCATCATCATCCTCAGCAGCTGAACCGATGCCTAATTATTATTAATATTTTAATCCTGCAGTACCTTCTGCTTCCCTCTCCGAGTGACACCATTTCATGGTAAATGCATTGTAATTCTGTCCATCTATTCAGCACTATAGACAGCAGCACTATAGACACCTCTCGAGTGTGCAGGACACTTACTCTCGAGGAATGTGGCAAAAGCAGTAAGGCTGTATTGCACTTGACATAATGAAATTATTCAAATGTTGTGTTGAATAAATTCTAATTATACAGTTTTATTTATCCATCTTTTTAGAAGACCTCTCTTCTTCAGCAACCACTACATATAGTCTCCAACAGACAGCTGAGGCATCACATGGTAAGATTGTAATTCTACCAGAATTTGGCTCTGGTAGAAAATTAAGGCCTTAAAAAAGTATTTTAATTAGAACAGAAAGTCTTAAAATTCATGAAGTCATCATGACATTACATTTTGCATGAAAAAAAAACCAAACCGAATATGTTCCTCAGTATTTTTGTCTTGTTTTTCAGTACAAATACCCTTAAATCAAGATACACTTACTTGAGATGCAAAATGAAAATATAACGTTTTGCTTTGGGAATTTGAACTGAATTAAGTGAGTTTATGCTTAAAAATCAACTGTTTGTAAGTGGGATATGAAAACTTGTTTTCCCTTTGAGTTAAGTTTATTTTTTTGACCCCACTGGCAGACATTTGTTCTTGTTTTAATCATAAACTCACTTCATTTTGATCATTTTCATACACAAAAAATCAAGATGACTTCTGGCATTTTGCTTCTCGTGTTTTTTCAAGGCTGTACAGCCGTGGTAACAAATATGTTAACTAAGTTAATAAATAAATGATGCAATATAAAGTAAACACAGTTTATTGATTTTAACTGAACCATACATTGATCTTTTCAGGAACCCTCCCACCTTCTGAATCCTCCTCTTCCCCTCATACACCCGAGCCACCACACAGTAAGATGTTTTCATAACTCTTTTCTCAAGTGCTACTCTGCCCCAAAAATGTCCTTTATTATATAGTCTATAATGAGAAGAATATAACAAAAGTGTAAATGTTATGACATTGCACTAATCTACTTTAAATCAAGATACACTTACTTGAGATGCAAAATGAAAATATAAAGTTTTGCTTTGAGAATTTGAACTGAATTAAGTGAGTTTATACTTAAAAATCAACTGTTTGTAAGTGGGATATGAAAACTTGTTTTCCCTTTTAGTTAAGTTTTGTAACATTTTTTGACCCCACTGGCAGACATTTGTTCTTGTTTTAATCATAAACTCACTTCATTTTGATCATTTTCACACAAAAAAAATCAAGATGACTTCTGGCATTTTGCTTCTCAAGTAAATGTTTTTTCAAGGCTGTACAGCAGTGGTAACAAATATGGTGACTAAGTTAATAAATAAATGATGCAATATAAAGTAAACACAGTTTATTGATTTTAACTGAACCATACATTGATCTTTTCAGGAACCCTCCCACCTTCTGAATCCTCCTCTTCCCCTCATACACCCGAGCCACCACACAGTAAGATGTTTTCATAACTCTTTTCTCAAGTGCTACTCTGCCCCAAAAATGTCCTTTATTATATAGTCTATAATGAGAAGAATATAACAAAAGTGTAAATGTTATGACATTGCACTAATCTACTTTTTCTTTTTTCATCCCTGTTCTCTCAGGTGGTCCTTCTGTTGTTGTTCCCCCACTGACACTCAGATCATCCCCTCATACACCTGAGACACCACACAGTAAGATGTTTTTATAACTACTCTGAAGGTTTTACTATGGCCAAAATATGTTTTAAGTTATTATACAATCTGTGATGATAATACAATGTGTGAAAATGACTACATATCACCAATTATGTTTTTGTTTTTCATCCTTGTTCCCACAGCAGGTCCTTCAGTTTTTGTTGCCCCACCGGCACAGAGACCAGATCAGGATATAAGCACTTGGACCTGTTCTTATCATCAGAAAGTGTGGATGAAGACAGAGCTCCAATCTCTGGGACTGTGGCCTGGGTCCCACCATATGCTCAAGCCAGGAAATGCCCTTTCATTATGGCGTCTCCCTCCACAGCCAGAACTCATTGACACTGTGTTAGCACTCCCATCCCGCAATTTCTTTCAGCTCCATCCATTTTTTATTTGGAAACCAGAAAGTGACGTCATGGTGAGACTAAGAAATAATTATATACTCCCATGTCTTCATGGTTGTCCAAAGCCAGATATAGTCTCAGCTGGTGTGGGTAGGCCTCGAGTGATTGTTGGCACCAGTGGACAGTATTACATCTTTGCTTCACGCCTTCGCTGCAGGATGTGCAAGAGGATCTGGTTTGCTGACAGTCCTCAGTGGACGGGGAAACTGCCAAAGCGGTTCACAAGCATTCTGCCAGCATTCCTAACTTACAAGAAGGCCATTTGCAAGTCTGTGCTTCATGAGCTGAGGCGTACTGGCAAGTCACCTTCAGACATGGCAAACCAGGTGAATGAGCTGATGCACCTTAAATATGAACAAGCTCACCTGGCATACCTTCACAGCATACAGAACATCTGGGATGCTGAGGCTGGGGTTTATGGGCAGATGACTCTTGGTCACCTTGTGAGGAAGGATGACATGCCACAGTCTTTTGGAGCCTATGAGGATGCAGATGGGTGGTGTGGCGTCTCTGTCTCTGCTCACTACCTGACTGACTGCCTCATTGATGAGTACCGGCGCCAAGAGCCAGCTATCACTAAACTCCTGCAGGGCACTTTTGGACAGGTCTTGCGGTCTGACCACACCAGGAAGGTGGCACGAAAAGTGAAAAAAAAATCTACATGTCCTTCCAGCATCACTCATAACATACATGATATTTGGGACACTTTGGGACCGCAAAAAGTAATCCAGTAACACTTTATAATAACTGCACTATAACGAACTATGAATCGTTAGTTAAGCATTAGTAAATAGTCTCAATTGTCCCAACTTTAATTGGCATTAGTAAGCAGTTTATAAATACAGCTATAAATGCCTTGTTCTTGATTTATAAGCATATCTATAATGTTTAATAATTCTATTTTCATACTTTATTAAAAATCTATTTATAATTTCTAAATTGAGTATTACATTATTTACAAACCAGTTATTTAGTTGTCAGTGGTTCTTAAGATAATTTAGAAAGTGTAAGTAAATGATAAATAAACTATTTAAATGTACATTTATAAATCTTATTATTTAGACATATGATAATGTGTGTGTGTTTATTAACTTAGTGTGTTAATAAATGCTTCATTATATGATATGTCTAAATAATAAGATTTATAAATGTACATTTAAATAGTTTATTTATCATTTACTTACACTTTCTAAATTATCTTAAGAACCACTGACAACTAAATAACTGGTTTGTAAATAATGTAATACTCAATTTAGAAATTATAAATAGATTTTTAATAAAGTATGAAAATAGAATTATTAAACATTATAGATATGCTTATAAATCAAGAACAAGGCATTTATAGCTGTATTTATAAACTGCTTACTAATGCCAATTAAAGTTGGGACAATTGAGACTATTTACTAATGCTTAACTAACGATTCATAGTTCGTTATAGTGCAGTTATTATAAAGTGTTACTGGATTACTTTTTGCGGTCCCAAAGTGTCCCAAATATCATGTATGTTATGAGTGATGCTGGAAGGACATGTAGATTTTTTTTTCACTTTTCGTGCCACCTTCCTGGTGTGGTCAGACTGCAAGACCTGTCCAAAAGTGCCCTGCAGGAGTTTAGTGATAGCTGGCTCTTGGCGCCGGTACTCATCAATGAGGCAGTCAGTCAGGTAGTGAGCAGAGACAGAGACGCCACACCACCCATCTGCATCCTCATAGGCTCCAAAAGACTGTGGCATGTCATCCTTCCTCACAAGGTGACCAAGAGTCATCTGCCCATAAACCCCAGCCTCAGCATCCCAGATGTTCTGTATGCTGTGAAGGTATGCCAGGTGAGCTTGTTCATATTAAGGGTGCATCAGCTCATTCACCTGGTTTGCCATGTCTGAAGGTGACTTGCCAGTACGCCTCAGCTCATGAAGCACAGACTTGCAAATGGCCTTCAAGTTAGGAATGCTGGCAGAATGCTTGTGAACCGCTTTGGCAGTTTCCCCGTCCACTGAGGACTGTCAGCAAACCAGATCCTCTTGCACATCCTGCAGCGAAGGCGTGAAGCAAAGATGTAATACTGTCCACTGGTGCCAACAATCACTCGAGGCCTACCCACACCAGCTGAGACTATATCTGGCTTTGGACAACCATGAAGACATGGGAGTATATAATTATTTCTTAGTCTCACCATGACGTCACTTTCTGGTTATCACTTCTGGCATTTTGCTTCTCAAGTAAATGTTTTTTCAAGGCTGTACAGCCGTGGTAACAAATATGTTGACTAAGTTAATAAATAAATGATGCAATATAAAGTAAACACAGTTTATTGATTTGAACTGAACCATACATTGATCTTTTCAGGAACCCTCCCACCTTCTGAATCCTCCTCTTCCCCTCATACACCCGAGCCACCACACAGTAAGATGTTTTCATAACTCTTTTCTCAAGTGCTACTCTGCCCCAAAAATGTCCTTTATTATATAGTTAGTAATGAGAAGAATATAACAAAAGTGTAAATGTTATGACATTGCACTAATCTACGTTTTCTTTTTTCATCCCTGTTCTCTCAGCAGGTCCTTCTGTTGTTGTTGCCTCACCGGCACAGAGACCAGATCAGGATATAAGCACTTGGACCTGTTCTTATCATCAGACAGAGTGGATGAAGACAGAGCTCCAGTCTCTGGGACTGTGGCCTGGGTGCCACCATATGCTCAAGCTAGGAAATGCCCTTTCATTATGCCGTCTCCCTCCACAGCCAGAACTCATTGACACTGTGTTAGCACTCCCATCCCGCAATTTCTTTCAGCTCCATCCATTTTTTATTTGGAAACCAGAAAGTGACGTCATGGTGAGACTAAGAAATAATTATATACTCCCATGTCTTCATGGTTGTCCAAAGCCAGATATAGTCTCAGCTGGTGTGGGTAGGCCTCGAGTGATTGTTGGCACCAGTGGACAGTATTACATCTTTGCTTCACGCCTTCGCTGCAGGATGTGCAAGAGGATCTGGTTTGCTGACAGTCCTCAGTGGACGGGGAAACTGCCAAAGCGGTTCACAAGCATTCTGCCAGCATTCCTAACTTACAAGAAGGCCATTTGCAAGTCTGTGCTTCATGAGCTGAGGCGTACTGGCAAGTCACCTTCAGACATGGCAAACCAGGTGAATGAGCTGATGCACCTTAAATATGAACAAGCTCACCTGGCATACCTTCACAGCATACAGAACATCTGGGATGCTGAGGCTGGGGTTTATGGGCAGATGACTCTTGGTCACCTTGTGAGGAAGGATGACATGCCACAGTCTTTTGGAGCCTATGAGGATGCAGATGGGTGGTGTGGCGTCTCTGTCTCTGCTCACTACCTGACTGACTGCCTCATTGATGAGTACCGGCGCCAAGAGCCAGCTATCACTAAACTCCTGCAGGGCACTTTTGGACAGGTCTTGCGGTCTGACCACACCAGGAAGGTGGCACGAAAAGTGAAAAAAAAATCTACATGTCCTTCCAGCATCACTCATAACATACATGATATTTGGGACACTTTGGGACCGCAAAAAGTAATCCAGTAACACTTTATAATAACTGCACTATAACGAACTATGAATCGTTAGTTAAGCATTAGTAAATAGTCTCAATTGTCCCAACTTTAATTGGCATTAGTAAGCAGTTTATAAATACAGCTATAAATGCCTTGTTCTTGATTTATAAGCATATCTATAATGTTTAATAATTCTATTTTCATACTTTATTAAAAATCTATTTATAATTTCTAAATTGAGTATTACATTATTTACAAACCAGTTATTTAGTTGTCAGTGAAAAATGTAATATATATATGTACAGTCAAACCAGAATTTATTCAGACACCTTGAACATTTAATTCATTAATACACTTTATTCACTATAGTTTAAAAAAATGGTAATAAAATATGACCGAGCCGAAAGTACTCCTTGTGGCGATCCTCATCCAGCCGAAGCTCCTGAATTAAAGAATGGAACTGTCCCCGCTCATTCTGAGTCCGTAGAATCGGGTGAACCCACAGCCTTCTCCTTTCCAGACGCTTTCGACGCCGTCGCATAAGACACAGTACAAGCACATCGGAATCCATGTTGTGATAACTGAGGGGAAACCTTGGCGCGTGATGTCATATCCTGCTCCCGCCCATA